TCGTCATAGTCAAGCGGTGAAACATCGACTGGGGGCTCGGATTCGTCTTTTCCACAACTTTCCGTGCTGGTACCATTCAATAGGGTGGAAAAGTATTCCCTACGTTCTGGACATCGGTCACTAGGTCACAACTCTTGTCTTCAAATCTTCCGTAAGTCGCCTAACTCTCTAGGAAAAATGTTCCGCCGATTTTATTGTCCGCCAGCATTTCAAGCTCTTCGCACTTCGCAGGTGTGAGAGTCGAGTAGCGAATGTATTGACCGTCTGTTGTAATTTCAGCTTTTTAACGTAAGGGGTTTCCTTGCCTTTTTGGGTGCCCTTTTTTGGCTGCACAGAGGCGGGTACTTATGTTGACTGCAACAAAGTAGTAAACCGTAAATAGACAGATCCCTTCTAGAATTCATGCAGACAATTACTTTTGTCAGCCCTTCTTCGGTAGGCCTTTTACAATGGCTTCACTTAAGAAGACCTACGTAAATTATCTTCTGGGGAATTCTAGAATGCAAAAAAGTTCCATAATCTATAAGAGTTTCTCATGTCATTAAAAGGACTTTTAATAAATCGACCTGCCTGCAGAAGCGTTCTAAAACACTTACTTTCTCCATTTGTTCCAGTAGAATAAATATCCAACTGACATAAAAGTGTAAATACATAATCCTAACGAATAAATTTTCATTTCGAGGCTAACAGGTAATCAGTTTGGAGAATGAAAGTTTTTACACAAGGGGTATTCACCAAATTGAGCAAGATTAGTGGTTGTTGCTTAAGCTAATTTGCTCTTTTGGCAGAGTGCTCGATTTGGTGAATACCCATACAAATTCATGCGGATACGTTAGCTACATGTATGTATGTATGTATAATTCGCAAAAAAAAATAAAAAATCATTACGTTTACCATTTTACCATTGAATGGACAAGACCTCATCCGCCTTCACACTTTATATATTTATGTATGTAGTTAGTAATTATGCAATTCAATTGATTATGGGAACTACTTATTTTAATTAAGCTTTACGGCTAATGGTATACATACCTACATACATATTCACGATTGTGTGACTTACGGCTTCACAATCAACCAAACTTGAAACTGGATTTACTTAGCGTAATGCCGAAATGTTTGTTTTGTATAATCTAAAACTAGTGTGAATGGCAAGATTCTTGATTGGGCGCTTATGTAGAATTTGCTTAACATTCGAAGAACTACTATAGTATGTATGTACATGCTTTTACAAATATACATACCCTGCAAACCATTTTTTCAGAGTATTCTGCATTGCAAAGAAGTTTTAAAGAATTCGTTAAGATTTAATTCGATTCGTTATTCAGGTCTCGGGGAGAATTTTATTTTTTTTTTGTTCGAAAGTTTATTGACCTCTAGTATCCACTTTTATCACCCCAACGTACCACCCGAATGTCAATAAATTAAAGCTCACCAAAAATCATTTAACTTTTCTAAAAAGGTATTTTAACTATTGCCGAATGTAGGTATCACCCAGGCCAAAACAATTTTTTCGGAAATGCCTTACAAAAACACTGATGCTGAGGGGTCTACTGCGAGGTTCTTTTTGGTTGCTTGTAAAGTGGTATGCATATCCAATGTACATACATATACATACTGTTACTCCCAAAATTGAGCGTACGGCTCTTTTTTTTATTTTGTTTTAAAATATGGCTTATGTTTTAGCAAATCCCATTTAAATCCAATAATGATACTGGGTGCAAAAATTAGGAAAAATCTGCAAAATTTCAGCAAAATCGCGAACTTTTTAATACGAATTTCTAAAACGAATTCAGGTATGCAGTTTTATAGCCCATTAAAATTTAGTTTAATAATGTGCAAATTTCAAATGTCTGAAAATTCGCGTTGATTTTTTGGAATTTTTTTGCTGGCTGTCCTACGCATTTGTTTATTTGTTTATAAAAAAAAAATCTGAAAATATTTCGTAGAAATGGAATATAATTCTTAAAAATCTATATTTTTCAATGTTCTTCTTCAGGAGATTTCCAATAATCACATCCAATTATTTATTTAATAATTTTTTCATAGTAGGTCACTATATTTTATATATCCGCCAAAAACCTCCAGAAAATGCAATGGGGGATAAATACAAAATCTTTAGTATTAAAAATTGTTAAAATAATAGATGGGTATTGTTATTGGAAGTCTGCTGAAGTGAACCAGAGTTTTCCGATCGAAATATATTGATTTTCAAGAATTCCATTCCATTTCTACGAAAAGTATTTTTTCCCCATATAAATTACAGGGAAAACCTTGAGTGCTTTGAGCGACCTCTATATATATTTGGTTTAAAAAAATAGGTGTTATTTTTTCGATATAGAACAATCCTAGGCGGTGAGAGCATTAAAAATCCGACTTTACTTATTTCGGACCAGCCTAATGTAGCTACATACTTACAGACATGTGATTGTAAATATTTCTTTAGTGATCAGCAAAACCACATATGCAAGTATATGTACGTATGTAATAAACAAAAGAAACCATCAAGTAAAACATTAATAAACACAAATGCTCGATGTTAACAATCCAGATGCAATTAGAGATATTAAATATTTCGGCAAATAAATTGTTTTTATAATTGGGGTATTCCCCTAAACACATATCAATCGCTTGCTGGAGGCTGGATGACTCAAAAAATCAAAAAATTTAAAAAAAAGCGTTTAGGTTTTTGTTTTGGCGGAGATAGTAATATTATACATTTTATGATTAAAACTGAGGTTTAGTGCAGCATTCAGCCCTATTACGGTTGAAGTCGTCGACGTCTTTGTATATTTTTCGTCAACGTCGTTGTTGTTGTTGTTGTAGCAGCATACAAATTCCCCAAAGACTTTTGGGGAGTGTTGCTGGAGTGACAGTCCTTGGCCAGATATAAATCTGGGTCGTTCCGGTTACGTAGACCCGACTGTCGTGGGGTCACTTCAACTCTAAAACGGCAATATGCCACGACGACGACTTTTCGATAAATTGAATTAAATAAATACACATCTTTTATTTTTGTGTATTATTTTTTGTTTTATTTTATTTTTTCTTTTTAACCTACATGAAAAGAAATTTACCCGATAGGTGGCGCAGGAATCGAGATACATATTTAGAAACCCCGCATGTATGGTCCGATTTATTTCATATTTAGAACGTATATTACTTAATAGGATAGAAATAACTCCACAAAAACCAATTTCGAGATTAAGGGGTGGGGGCTCGATTTATTAACCACTAAAAAAGCGTCTCTTAAAAAAAAATCGTTTTTAAATTTCTTGTTTATTTAATTTTTAACCCACTTCAAAAAAGGAGGAGATTATCAATTCGTCGGAATATATCTTTTTTTATGTATGTATTTTACCGCATAAGTTTGAACCACGTTAACCGATTTCTATAATTATTTTTGTAAAGAAAAGGTGGTACCTGAGAGGTGGTCCCATACTAATTCGGCTTAGATCCGATCATTGAATCATAAAGGAATTAACGGTGCTCTTAAATTTATATGACAATTGAAGTCGGTTTTATTTATTGTTTAAAAAGTACTTGTTTATTATTTTTTTAGAAAATATTCACCCTCATTGCGAGAGTCGTGTCGAATGCAAGTCGTTTTTCGAGAGTCGAATCGTATCGAAAATTTCACGTCATTGCCTAAATTTTCCACTCGACTAGTGTATTAAAACGGAAAAACTTGGCAGCACTGTATAGTTTTCGACGATTTTGGTCGTTTACTTATTTCAGTACGACAATAGACAATGCTACTGTTGTCGAGTCGCAAAATTTAGCCTCATTTACGACTTACGCAATGAGGCTGATTGCTCGTTGTCTAATAAAAACGATGTAAGTTCAAACTTAAAAATAGGAAAAATCGATCAATTTCAACAAATATTGATCAAAAAAATACTATTAAATCAAGCAAATTTTTAACAGTGTTATGCATTTTTTCTATCGTTATCTTCTTCGTATCCCTTTTAATTTTGGCATTCATCTTGATATTTGTCTTTGTACTGGGTAGTACCAAATCAATGGGCCATAAATTAGAATTGACCACAATAAATGAAAAATTAAACTTCCCAAAAAGTATGCAAGTTTTTTCAGCTCATTTGGCTACTAAATCCATTTGCTGTGAGCAAATATTAAGAACGAATGCATCACAAAAAAAACTGTTTTATATTATTTAAATTTATTAAACAAATGCAATTAAAATAATTAAATTTTTAAACGTATATCATTCACCTGTTCTACAAATATTATTCGCCTCATTGCAAATGCTCTATATAGATTTTTTGGTACAGCAGAATAAAAATAAGTATACTCATTTCATTGAGCATATACAAAGCTAATAGTAAAAAGACAATAACACAAATGCAAAAAAAAAAAAATAATACAAACATACTGCATGGTAAACAAAACAAAGGAAAGTGAAAGTGGAAACAAATTTAATTGTATTGATAAGCCGTTGCAGTGGCGCTTGCAATTTTAAGAGAACAGCACACTGTTAGCTAATTTAACACACATATGCATGCACATACGATTTTTAAAGTTTACTCTACTTTATTTTATTACATATTTATTTATTTAACTTTTTTTGTTTTTCATTTATGCTATATGTACCTTCAATTGCCTATAGGTATCAAATTGAATTAAGTTAATGATGCTAACTTATTACTTTCTAGTCTTTGCACGCTGCCTAACTTCAAGCTTTTATTTCCACGCTTGTTTCAATTGTTTACGTGAAGCCAGATGTTTCGCCACTAATGAGCCGCTTGTTAGTGCCAACAACACAACAGTAATTAAAATGTAATCAAAATCTTCTTTAAGCAAATCAAATGTTTTCGATGGTGCAACGCGAGTAACGAACATATCTGCAAAGGAGATAAATAAATAGTGTAAATTTCAGTTTAGAAACATTTAAAAATGTAAGAATAAAATAACTAGTTTAAAGCTTCATAGACACAAATTTGCATGTGCTATTTTTTAATCAAAAGTGCTTATAATTAAGGCATTTAGTAAATGCTTCTTAAGTTTGGTGGTGGAGCTCCTAATTTTCGCTTATCACTCTATTAAAAAGACGAAATTATTTTGGTGCGCTCACCTAAACCAGTCGCCAGAACCAAGCATGTACTCTCCAGTCCGCTGGGTGCGGTGAAAATATTACTCAATCGTGCAATTGTCTGATTGTAGTTGATAATATTTTCCGTTGGCAATGGCAATTCGGGAATGTAAGGTATTGCGCCCTCTTCGCGGCCCTGTGTATTAGAAGTGATTGGACGACGTGGATCGAGTAGAGCCCAAGGCATCTCAATAATAGCGCCACTCGTCGTACCGACTATTAAGGATAAAAATTAATTTCTTTACTTTGAAATACAAGCTTTTACCGAAATAGGTACACTTACTCAACACATGTTTATTTGTAATGCCACGCTCGGTAATCGTTTCGCGCATCGTCTCCACAATAGTGGGCACAATGTAGGACTGCCGTTCCACCATGGGCATTGGTGGCGCATTCATCGAACTCCAAACTGTACTATTAGCCTGGATTTTACCCTCATATAATTCAATTGTTGCTGTAAAAATTAGATTACAATTACCAACAAAAATACTTATAATCATAGATTACTAATATTACTTATTTCAGTGCGTCGCACTTTGTCGTTATAATACGAATATGCAAGCCAATTTTCCGAATGCACAATATGCACTGGCACGCGCGCTCTGCGATGTGTCATAGAAAATACAATTAAACCAGAGACAGCATCGATAAGATAGGTGTTCAGTAAGTCTGTGAAATAGAGGCAAAGAAGGAAATTAAAATGAAATGCTGCTAAAATCTTTTTTTGCTTACATTTATGTGTGGGATCGGTTGCTTGTGTTACCGCAGCAATCAAATTTGGATTGATATATTTATATAGAACAGAACGATCTGCTAGCACACGTCCTTGGGAGTGCACATGCTCTAGTGGGTTTTTCGCAGCAATAGCAATTAACTGGTGGTCTTCATTGTGGCCATCAAGGCGTACTTTCCAGATAGGAAGGCACGATAAAGCCTAAAAAGTAAACATTATTAAAATATCAAACCATAATAACTCATAACATAGTATACGCATTGAGCAGCACTTACACCATCGTTGAATTCTACAAAGAATCCATCAAGTGTGGCAGTGGATTTGTCGGCAGTAAACAAGTACATCTCATGTGCCTAAAAGTTTAAATATAAGTATGACTGTATGTATATACGAAAATCCTGGGAGATAAGCTAAGCTAGTAAAATTTTACCAGTTCTTGCACGTATTGCGGATATACGGCGACATTATTTTGGGCATCAAGTAGCAATAGTCCCTTAATAGACTCTTTCTCAGATTCCGCGAGCAATGTTAGTTGCTTAATTTTGTAATTCAATTTTAATAGGCCACCTTCGGCCGGTTTGCCATTAATGGGATTGAAGCGGAAGAGTACACCATTGCCAGTTGACTAAATAGAGCAAAAGCACACATTTCAATGTTTAATTTTATGCCCACAAAAATTATAAAATTTCATATACTTTTTCCTTTGCTACAATAGTGCATAGTGGTTGCAACGGAAAGTGCTTGGATGTACGTTGTACCAGCAAACGCATTGGTTCCTGATTCACAAAATTTTGTACATCACGCAAATACTGTTGCCAATGATGTTTACCATTAATGTTATCGATGCCAAAGATTTTGCCGCTACGTGTCAGCACCACCAACATTTTGTGCAACCCGAAGGAGTCACGCACCAGGCCAGCTTTTTGCGTATCACTGGGAGGTTGGCCCAAGCCAACGACGTGTAGAAAAATACTCTTAATTTGTAAAGCTTGGGTAGAGATGCGACGAAAGAAAGCGCTAGAAATATCACCTGTTGAGAAAGAGGGTTAAATCAATTTTTTCTAAAAACTCTATTGTTTTTACAATTCCGTAAGCACAAACCGTAAGATAAATAACGAAACGAAAATAAAAGCTTAAGCAATTTAACTGCACACAAACCTGACTATGGGGCGTTTTTAGTCTTTTATACAAACAGGCAAAAATAGTTTATAGGATTAAGACTGGTAATATTGCGATTTAGGACATAACTTTAAAGAAAAAAAAAACGCAGCCAAATGATAAGTACAAAATCATAAATTTCAAAATCACGATTTCTTTCTTTTTTTAAAAATTTTTACTCACTTTCCAAACCCGTTGCATCCTCTAATGATTCCAATTGATAGCAGAAAAAATGGGACAACAATTAATTTCATATTTTAAATACATATAAGCTATAGGATCAGACGAACTTTCTACACATTAACTATGACATGTCTGTGTTTAAAGATCTCCTCTATATATTAACTTTACGATTTGTTAGCATATCATACTACTGTACAACTCACCTGTATTTCCTTTCATTTCATTTTCCAAAGTGCCCTCTGCATCACCAAGCGGCAAATCAATAAATTCACTAGCCACTATATTTGCTAGCGACTCCTGGCGTACCCATCGTATTTTGCTCTGTTGCACTGCCAAAATAGCTTCATCTTCGGTACCCAACACATATAGGCATCCTTTACCATGTGACATGCAGGCGAACGTTTTCAACGTCGGCGTGCCATAGTAATCTGGATAATCCATATTAATTGTCATCTCTGGCACTGGTTCACAGCTATCAACATAGTGCCCTCGTATTTGCAAAACCTTCAAGTATTTTCAATTTAGTTCTGATTTTACTATGCATTTATTTTTTATCAAACTCACATTATTTACTACATCTGCCAGCGCTAAAACGCGACGTTGCTGAAACTTTCCCAACAAGAAACTATTACTTTTGTAATTATTACAAACAGCTGTGGCTTCGTGTATGCTAACTAATGTGTTATCAATTACATAAGCGCCGCTTATTCCCTGCAAGAAGAGATGTTTATAAATCAGCACATTAAAAAAAAAGTAATGCCAACCTCTACAGCGCGCAACTTGTCCTTCGGTACTTCCGCTAGTGTCTTTCTCAACACCTGCGGCTGATTTGCTGTTAAATCAATTCCGATTAACTGATTTCCTTCTAGACAGCTATAGTAACCACCGCTCAATACACATTTGTCCGCAGAAATCCACGCTGCGGATATACGACCAGTGGTTTCCGTCGTATGACCAGAAGTAGCAAAATATGGAGTTACTTCAATATGACTACGCCATGTCGGTATTACATGATACAGTAAACCATTTTTATAGAACCAAAATGCTGACTCCGCACGCTCCGTTTGCAGTGGCATCAACGACCACTCCCATTCCAAGTTACCGCTAGCCACATTCCAACCACGCACTAACGCAGGCGCATGCCCTTGCACGGTGAATACATCGAATCCATGCTTTGAATTTGTGGGAGCTGCAGCGGTACTCTCTGCGTCGTTTATATTAGCCGCAACTGTTCCAACTTGCATTAATTTTAGCTCACCGCGCGGTGAATTCTCAAGCACTTGTCGCCACAACATTTTTCCCGTTTTCGGCTCCAATACTGCGACAACATTTTCTTGCGTACTAACCAACAAACGTGGACTAAGGGAATTTAGTTCCAAGTGTGCTTGCCTGATTGCGCCAATGTGCTGAACTCTCCTATTATAATTAGTATGCATGAAGTGTGACAATGGGACATTTGGATTATGCTGACGTGTTCCTTGCACTTACCAATCGAATTTCTTTATTTGATCCTCATATAGACCATTGACACAAGTGGAAACCAACAACAACGATGTCACAAATAGGACTCCGTTCCAAATAGAGATCCGCGTACGCATTGTGTAGATGCTGAGCGATGTGCACTTTGACGTGTAAATGAAAGTCCAACGGATTCTTTTATTTACACACAATAAAATATGAATTTATTTATTTTTTATTAATAATTAATTCAGGATCATCACCGGCCAAAGAAAAGTGCAAAAGAAAAAATTTAATTAGCCAAAGAGAAAAAATCGAGTGACTGTCAAACTTTTAGTGGCTTCTTCTTCTAAGTTATATTGTGAATGCGCAAGGGCTGCCAGGGGCTGTAAGCATGAACCAAAAATACAAGGGCCCGTAGTCAACTTTTTTGACAGGTATCCCATTGAAAATTATGTCAAAAAGCTGCAACTAACTTTAGCTGGTTTTGAGAAAAAAGTTTATGAAAGCCGATTTGTTAACGGGCAAATGCTTAGTTAACGAAATGGCTTTCGTAAACTTTCATAAACATCATACCAGGGGCGTGCCTTCTTCTCTTTTGCCATCGGCCAGAATGAAATTTGGGGGGCGCAGGGGGGCTCGACCCTATTCAGCTGTCATTTCAGGGTACTATTTTATATATATATAAGGAAAATTTGAAAGTTAATTAGCTCGAGCACCCCCAGCCCCTACCTGGCTACGCCCATGTCTTTAGCCCTAGTGCGTTTTTTGATTGGATAAAAAGAGAAGGCACGTTCCTGTTGATCACTTTCGCCACAATTATAACGAGTTGTCCCTTCTTGTTATCTACGTTCTTTGCTACTGATATGTTTAAAACTTAATATATTAAATGCACGGCAACTTTCACTAGTAAAAAAGCAGTGCCAAATTATTTCTTTGGCGTTCATTGAGGAATACCTTTTGCGTTTTGCGCTTTGCTGGCAAAGTTATAAATGTTAGGCAAAACCTTTAAGCTGATGCCAGATAAAACTTTGTGGCTTTGCGTGACATTTATAACTTTGCCAGCAAAGCGCCAGACGCAAAAGTTATGTCACGATCTATGTGGCATGCTTTGTGCATTGTCATACAATTCATCTTATCTGTCACGTAAAGCGAAGCAAAAGCTTTATGTGGCATCATGAACCAAAAATACAAGATCACGTAAGAACGCGACGTTGTATTTGTAACTGGTTTTGAGAAAAAAGTTTGCGAAAGCGGGTTCGTCAGCTGGGCGTTTGTTTACATCACAAGCACCACTATTTTACACTTTTATTCAAGTAAAGAAGAGTTAATTCAACATGACAACACATTTTAAAGCATTTTGTTGCATCATTTTACCTAAATTGTGCGTTTAAAGTGGCTGACAATAATTTTGGCTAATTTTGGTTTTCGCTGTTTTCTTTGCTTTGTTTACTTTTCGCTCGTTTTCCAGTTTCCCTTGTTCTTACGTGATCTTGTGTGTTTCGTTCATGATGTGGCATCAGATTAAGGATTTATCTGGCATCGGCTTTAACGTCGTACTTAATTCATTGCAACTCTGACGAAATAACTATTGAAACTGACATCGTAAAAGAAGAAGAGCACAAATAAAAATATAAAAATTTTCTGGAGAATATTTGCAGACATATTTGAAAATATAGTTTTAAAATGATCGAAAAGAAAACAGAGAAGACCAAACATGAAACAAAACCGCGGGACGACGGCGTTGATTTGGAAAACCAATTTATACTTCGATTACCAGAGGTTAGTACATAAATATGTACATACATACATATGTATGTCACTCTATCTGGGGAGATTCTAGAAAAAAATTGTTTCCACTATTCAGGAGCCCGCTAAAGCGCTGCACGAAGCACTACAAACAGGAACTCTTAAGGATCGGATAACTATCAAATTGGATAATGAGCTACGTTATGGCGAGTTGCGTTTTGATCAATGGTTATTGCATGCGAAAGTTTTAGATTTGCCGACCATTATTGAGTGCCTCAAAACCATAGATAGCAAAAACTTTTACAAATCTGCAGATATTTGTCAAATAGTAAGGCAATGTGAATCTAAAATAGTTTTAAAATTTTATACATCTTCCATCTTGTATACAGATGATTTGCAAAGAAGAACCCGACGCATTAGATCCAGAAAAAGAATCGCCAAACAAGGGCAAAAAGAAGGATCCTAATAAGGTAGACAAGAAATACTTGTGGCCTCATGGCATTACGCCACCGTGCAAAAACGTGCGAAAGCGCCGCTTCCGTAAAACATTGAAAAAGAAAAACGTTGAAGCACCCGAAATTGAGAAAGAAGTGAAACGTCTATTACGGATCGATAATGATGCCGTAAAAGTAGACTTTGAAATCATTAATGAAGATTTAGACAAAAGGTCTTTAGAGCAACAATCCAAGGAATATAACGAAGGCGAGGAAGAATACAATGATGAGACTATGCATGGGGGTGATAAGAATAACGATTCTTCTTCACAAAAAGACATCAATGTAGAATCAGATGGTGACGATGAAGATGCACCATCTCGTTCAGCGCCCATTGGTGGTGTTGGTGAGCATGATATTTTCGGTGAAGAAGTGTCTTCGTCCGATGATGATGAAGATATGCGGCGTGGCACTTCACGCTTGCGAGACCTTGAGGATATTTCCAGGTTATCAGCGGATGACTCGCGCATGTCTGATTTTTCGATGGGAGGAAATGGGGCCGGCGATGTTGCCGGTACTTCAACCAATCTAATGGGTGCATCTGGCATCGAAAATGCTAATAGCATGAACAGTTTAAAAGATAACGCAACCGAATTCGACAAATCCATGTTTGGCAGTCCAAAAGCCGATGCGGATGATATGGTCTCAAAATTTAGCGGCTCTAATTCGAACTTAGCAGCACCGAGTGGCTATTATGAAGAGCAAAAACGTAATGATTACGAAGATGATTATTCAAGTGAAACCAATACAACAACACCACATATTAATGCCGAACAAATTCAAAGCAGAGTAGCCGAATTGCGTAGACAATATGAAGATTTGAAAACGCAGCATACACAAAAGGCCCAAGAGATTTCATCTATCCAGAATCCAACATTGAAGCAACGTTTGCAAGAGACCCTAGATAATTTACAAAATCAAATGGACGATAAAGAAGCTGAAATTAAGGATTATGAGAATATTCTGTAGGAAACAAAGTCGTAGTAGCGACTACTGGTTAAATATGAATAAAACTTGCAACTTCTAAAATTAATTAACAATACAATTTAAGGCTGAATTCTGTGGCTAATTTCATCACGAAAGATACCAACTCGAACTCGCCAGGAATGGAAGCCGTTTTTCTTTTTATCTTGCCTCATTTGGAAGGGGTGTCTAAAACTGAGTGTATTTTCTGTTGCAGAAGAGGTATGCTTACAAAAAATATCAATTCGAAAGCCAATAAAACTATCTACTGGGTAATGAAAATAGTTGTTGCATTTTTTTTATCAGACACTTAAAAATAATATTTCTAGTTTGTGCAAACCAAATTGCATACCTTTAGTAAGGGCTAAATCACCTAGTTTTTGTTTTTTGATTGCAATGCGAAATTCGCCTTCGAAATGTCGAATTACGTTAAAATTAAAAAAAAAACCTAAAAAGGCCATGGGGCCTGACCGCATATGATAGACGCACCCAACTATCCCAAATTTACACTACAATTGCAATACCAATTTGCGCAAACCAGGTAAAATATTTATAAAACACCGAATAACATCTCTGTGTTAAAAATACTTTGGTTCTCTTTGCTATCAGCTGTTTTCTAAATATCTTGTCAAATTTTTCTTTTTTCATCCTTTTACGTTCGATATGGCTGTGGCTTTGCGTTTCGGTATAAATTTATTAAAAATTAACAGAAATTCTGTACAAAGTCTTAACCGAATTGTGGATAGCTATGCAGCACAAATAGTAAATATAAAATCCACTCGAATTCCGCGCGTTCAACGCATGGAACCCGCGAATTGTACTTACCTAACCTTCATCTGTTTTGCAGCAACCAAGCAGTGGATATGGCACCGAGGTGACCGTAGAAGCTGCACCTTTAGCGATAAAGAAACAAAAAGTTAGCAATGCCATGAAAGCCTACCTCGAACGTGCGCGAGAAAATGATGAATTCATGAAAACACAAAAACTAGAGTATCAAATTGGTAAAAGGCACTTGGCTAACATGATGGGCGAAGATCCAGAAACATTTACGCAAGAGGATATCGATGTGAGTACACATAGTGTGTATATTTAAGCCTTTAACATCTATACAAGTGAAAGAATATTCTTCCCATCAGAATGCAATCGAATATCTATTTCCCTCGGGCTTGTTCGACAAACGTGCACGACCGCTAATGAAAAGTCCGGAAAAAATCTTTCCAGTGCGCAAAGCGGCGGAGTTTGACGAAACGGGTCGGCCATTCCACAGTATGTTCTATACTGGAAGCCCTAATTTCTTCAAATTGTTGTTCGTGAGTACAATCAGGCAGTAGTGGACTATTGTGCATAGTGATTGAGTTTATTTTTTTATTACCTTAGGATATTGTGGAGGAGATGAATAAATTATATGAACTGGAGGAACGTATGTTGCGTCGTGGCACGCGCGCTGACCCAAACCAGAAAGTGTGAGTTTTAATTTTTTATTAGCAAGATTTTGTAAAATCTTAACAAAATGTATTTCACTTTAGGGACTTCACTGGTTTCGAGTGGTTGCCTAAGAGTCAACTTGAAACCAAGTTGGTCGAACACATTAACGACTTGGAGTATACAAATTTTACAAATGCCATGGATCGCTTAGTGTCATTACCATTTTCATATAAAAGTCGTGACTTTATTAACAAATTCGCCAAACCGTTGCTGGATCAAACAAAACAATTGGAAATACCAAAACCACAATTCGATGCAGATGGTCGTCAATTTGTTACTACATATGGTATGTCTGCTTGTTTTCTTGCAAAAGCTAGTTTGCAAAAGTAATTGTTTTAATATTTTCCTTCACCAATAGAGTGTTTACGTAAGACCGCACGTGGCGATGTTACTATACGGCTGCCTGGTACAGGAAAAATTACAATTAACGGGCAAGATATAACATATTTCGAAGAATTACAGAGTCGAGAGCAGGTGAGTTGAAAGCGCATTTTTTCATTAAGGTATATTTGGAGTATTCATCTAAACGAGCAAATGCTTCGTAAACAACGTAAACTTGCCTAATTTTGTTTTTTCACTTATATGGCTTCTTAACATTTTCAAGATTTACTAGAAAACTATTGCACCCGCGATTGGGTGCTTATTTATTTGAAAATAAGTATAATCAACAAAAAACAGATCAAGTCACCTGTATCTGCTCTGCCAGGATGTCCCAGCCCCTTTAGTAGCATTGGACCGAAACAACAATGCTGCAAAATTGCCAGAAACCATTAAAACTACTAACTTCTTGTTCAAGTTTTTTCAAATTCTCCTGGAAAAAAAAAATTTACATATATATTTTCAAATATATTCAAAGCTCTCTAGAGTGCATGGTGCAATTCCGACATAATGAGCTCCTTGCTTCTTCGACCATAACCCTGTGCTGTGATATTGATGAACGTTTAAGTTGAACTAAGGACTGTCACGGACTAGCTGCTACACCAACAACAACAGCGGACTCAGACTTGAACAGTTGGGTCCTCGAAGCCTGATTAGATTAGATTTGATTTAGAGGCGGGAGTAACAGGTCACTTAATTACCACGACCGAGAGCGATCTATTGTAACATACCTCTTTTCGCTACAGATCTTCTTTGGTCCACGTGTTGCTAAGAAACCTCGCAAGGTCCTTTGGCTAGGAGTCGAAGTCTGGTCCTGGTGAGGGTTTCACCGTGGCATATAATGTGTTCGGCTGTTTCCTGCTTATTTAAAATGTATGCTGCTATGACAGCAACAAAAGATATTTCCCTGTGAGGCATTATATACAAGATTGTATATCGATGGCTGAGCACATTTTCAATGTATTTTCTTCAACTAAATTCTGAGATAGGTTGTTTTTCAATAAAATTCTGAAATAGGGCGTTCTTCAATCAAATTCTGAAGTAATCTGAAGTAAGGCGCTCTTGGAAAAGTTTTCTGAGATACGGCGTTTTCGAACCGGCTAGCAGAGATAGGTCCATCTTCCACTCAGCCATCGATATATACTACTTTTAAAAGAAACCTATATACATATGTAGGTACCATTTGCTGATGAGATTTGTATTCAATTTCTCTATGATAGTCTTATGATACTCTTATGATTTTTATGAAAAGCCTTTTCACCGATTAAATGCAATTATAATTTGTGGAGCCATTTGAAAAACGGGGCTGAAACAGATGGAAAAGGGTGTTAGCTCATCAGGATTAAGCTGGCATAGCTCTAGATAGTAGCTGGTCACCATCTTAACCTGTGGATTTATTTGAAAAATTTTATTCGCAATTCAAACCATAAAAAAAAAATGGAACGGAAACTCGCTTCTCATAATTTTTCCAAATGTTTCATAAGTGACTAAACATATTGCAGACTTTTTAATCCTTAATAAGACAAGACAAGACTTAATTTTTTAGGTTATGTTAATTGTATGTTAGTACTTTTTCTTGTTTCGTTCCTTCCTTTACTTCCCGCACTTACCTGCATTATCATTCTTAGCAAAAAATATCAAACCCAACCGGATTTTTAATTGTGCTTTTCGATAATTTTATTTTATTTTTACATACATAAAATGCAAAATAATAACGCAATTCTTTCCATAAAAAAAAACACATAACCTAAAAATTTAGATGCAACTGGCAGAATTTTTATAATTTTCACAAAAATTTAAATACATATTAACTTACATGGTTTTTGTTAGAAATTGAGCTGCAATTTCATAAACAAAAATAATAAATCTTAAATAAACAACAGAAATATAGACAAAACAGCTCAAAGTAAATTGTTTCTATTATTTTGCCCTTGGGTGTACATATAAATATATTTGTGTAAATGTTAAATTTTTATCTTATTATTTTCATTTCCAATTTCGCTAGCAAAATTTTAATAGTAAAACTACTTAGTATAGTATGTGAATACCCTAGGTATAGTTACTCGCAAACGTAAACTTGTATGCATGTGCGTTTGCATGTCTGTATATGCGCTTACACAGCCTCACAACGTTGATAAGCTTGGATTTTGGCCAATATTTGTATTAATCATCTTTTCTTTGCATTTGCCATTTGTTGCGGTGCTGTCCATCTTCTCCGCATGCCTTAACTAAAACATTACATATTGTTGTTGTAAAGTCTAAAGTACAACGCAAAAATCTAAACGCTAGCAGCAGATGTACAAACACAAGTGTCGAGAAGAAGAGAGAAACGAATAAAAAATGCAAAACTAACTGTTTTTAAATGTCTAGCAAATCAAATATTTAAATTTAATAGCAACTGCTGGTCCGGGCGAGCGCTTCTTTCGTTTGAATTTTTAAGCAATAAAATCACGCATAATAACCAACTAGCGCAATAAAAATCAAATAAATTAAATGAAATGAAATGAAATGAAAGGAAATGACATAAAATACAGATTTATTATTTTTCTGAAAAAAAGCGTAGATATCCTATATCGCCGCATTCACTACAGAGTTAAAAGAAAAAAAGCGCTATTGTGGCTTAAGTCAATTTGCTTTGCCTAAATTAACAAAAATATATGTAAGTATTTATTTGTTGTTTGTATGTACACATTTATACATTCGCTGTGCCAGCAGCAGCAGCAACAGCAAAGCTTAGTGTTTCTCATCCATTTCACTCCATTGTGTGTTCGCCTGTGTATGCATTTGTAGCGCTAGCTGCCCAGCGAAAACAAAATTCCATGCGAAGCGGGTCTTCTTTTTTTTGCTGGAAGTTGGAATTCTTTAATGAATTTACATATGTTTATTCATAAATAACTACTATTGAGAACATACATATGTACATACATACATAATACATTTCGGTTTGACTTTCGAATTAAAAATGTGAATTAAAAGTGGGTAATATTTTTGCTTACCACGAAAATTGTAAAATAAAAAATGTTGAAAAGTTCTCAAACCAACTCTAAATAGTAAAACTTATGCATTAAAGCTATTTTGGTAACTATAGTTAATTATAGTAATTTTTTATTTGTAGTTTAACTCAGGTTTTCGGGACAGTCGAATTGGGAAATTCTAACTAAACAAAAACGGAAAACAATTTTTTAATTACCTTGTTACATTATCTTTTTCCTCATTAATTAGTGAATAGCTTCAGTAAAAGAAATCGGTATTAAAACTTTTTTTCTTGATTCCGAAATATTTAAATCACTCCCAGACAGACAACTACTTAAAATTAAAATCACATTCTTTTCAAGAGGGGGGTTTGAAAACTAAAAATCACCTCCTGGTCGCCCATTTTTTCGCAAAAAAATTACTCTACTGACAAAGTATGATGAAATTGTAGTTTTTTTTTCGCTCACAGGTTTATGGTCCTAAAAGGGTAAAAAAAATGTAAATATGCAGATGTACATAAATTGAAGTTAGTAATGTTGTTGTCTGAGTGCCCTTTTATACCCGAGCGCACTATTGCACAAGGGTATTATAATTTTGTTCACATAACGGTTGTTTGTCAAAACGAATCGAGATAGATATAAGGTTTGTTCGTCGAAAATCCAGCAAGAATTATCCAACACTCAAAATATCAGAGAGTAAGAAAAAATTCTCTCAAATTCTCTCTCATGTTGAGAAACTTGCAAATTTCTGCACGAACGCAAATTTGCAGGAATTTGCAAGTTTCGCTGCCAGCTGGCGTCCACGGTTGCATTTCAAACATAAAAAATTTTTATAGAATTTTTAAAATTCTTTCGGATGGCCAAAAACAGGATATACATGTATATTTCTTGTTGTTCTGACTTTCTTTAACATACATTTCAATTTCTTCATCGTACTAGCTGTCGGGTTTCTTAAATCGACTCTGGTTGCAATTGCATTCCGATTGCGAATACCATTTTTTTCAGCCGAATTAAGTTCAAATCATTGGAATTAACTAAATTAATTATATCAACAATTATTTACTTCCTTTTTTCATAAAAAAATCGCTCGTGTTTATAAATTTTTAAATTTAACGAACTAATTTATTCAAATTATTGTAGACAAAAATGCAACCATGCGCCACAACCACATGTTTTTCGTGTTTGCAAATTCTTGCTGGCAAAATTTTTTCCAGCAAGAATTTGCAACTTCTCTCCAAGAGAACTGTCACTTTGCTCTCACAATTTTTGAGTGTTGGATAATTTTTTGGTCTGCACGAACGCGATTTGGGCAAAAATCGTGATAATTCGTACAAATTCGTACAAATTTTTTGCTCGACGAACAAACCTATAGACAAATGTATACATAAATGATCAGAATTAAAAGGAAGTCAATTAAGCCATGTCAGTCTGTCCGTTCGTCCGTGTACACGATAACTCGAGCAAAAATTGAGACATCTCAATGAAATTTGGTATAAGGTAGATTGGTATTGAAAATCGGTGAAATCGGACTGTAACCACGCCCTCTTTTCATATAGCGGTGTTTTCGAAAAATGCAAAAACTACGATATTCCAGTAAATGTTCAAACGAAATTTTTGAAAATTAGTATGTGAAATAGAAATATGATAAACAAGATTAATCCTTACCAAACTCGATCCTAGCCTTGCTTAGGATCCAACTAAGAGATCTGTTGAAAATCTTTGAAATCAATCTATAACCACGCCCACCTCCCATATATAGGTAATTTACAGAAATACAAAAACTGCGATAAATCAGTAATTATTGAAGCTAATTCCCCAAAAATCGATTATTGCAATAATAACTTACCAGAAAATTTGATTATTATTATTAGTGGCGCCGCGAACTTATGACCACAAATATGTATCTCGGTAACCGATTCATCAAATTCAACCAAAATTGGCGCACGGAAAAGCACTTTGTTGAAAATTATTAAATTCGGACTAAAATGAGACCCCCTTCCCCTATAACGGTAAATTTCAAAAATACGACAACTCCGATATTTGAAAAACCGAGGACACTAATTTACTTCAAATTAATACTTACAACAAACTCTTAACAATAAATAAGACTGTTATAGACTTTATGACTTTACTTGTTTAATTTTAATTTGAGACTTAATTTTTATATCTCCAGCCTAAAAATTAGAATGAATTCATATAGAAATTCTTAAAACAGATGGAAATTGTCAGCAAAAGCAAAAAAGATTTATTTAAATATCAAAGAGATTATCTGCTGAAATTAAAAAAAAAATATAGTTCTGTGTTTTTCCTTTTTTCTTATTAGAATTTATTTATTTTTTATTATTCCCACACTTTCTTTTGCATTCTAATTATGGTATTATGCTAAATTTTCCATTACGGTTTCTAAAATTAATGTACATACTAAAAAAAAAAACATAATTATAAATTTCAAGAAAATTGTGTTCGATATGAGATATTTTCAGAAAAAAATATGTATAAGAAATAATCGAGAAATTTGTTCATCGCCTAGTAATTTGATCATTTTTTGAAATTTCATTTCCATTCAATACTGGTTTGGCATTTTTTAATAAATTTTTTAATTTAGCTTATACTGTGGTTAGATAGCCAAAAGTTAGAAATTTGAAAACAATTCACTCTAAACAAATTCCAATTATAAACTGAATACTAATTTAGTACTTAATTTCACTTAATTGGTCTCAATTTAGCAAAAATGTAAAACTGAAAACAAAAAAAATCAAAAAACTTCAACCGCGAATATCATCAATGAAAAAAAAACGCAAGAAATCGAACTAAATTAAATAAGTTAAATGAACTATGTGTGAAGACCAATACGTTTCTTTAATTTAAAANCAAAAAAAATCAAAAAACTTCAACCGCGAATATCATCAATGAAAAAAAAAACGCAAGAAATCGAACTAAATTAAATAAGTTAAATGAACTATGTGTGAAGACCAATACGTTTCTTTAATTTAAATCTAAATTTACTCAATTTAGCGGGTTGTCTGAATATAGGAAGCAATTCTTGCGTTCATCGGTCCGCAGCAAAGTTCCAAGACAGAGTTTTTAAATATTTTTATAATTTTAAATAACTAAACGAAAATTTAATATATACATACATTTCTACACATATTTAAGGTATGTCTGAAATGAAGTAAATTTACTAAAAAAAAGTCAATTTTTAAAATGAAAACTAATTTAATGTCTAATTGCTTCTAAATTGAGTCAGACGCTCCGTGAAACTGTTAAATCTGTTTAATTTACGTTGGAGGAAAGCAAAATGTTAGATCAAAAACTTAGAACTTAAAAAAGTCAAAACGGAAATTCCAAGCTGTGAACAACAAAAAAAATTCGAAATTCCAACAGTAAATATTTTCGACTTTCAATTTGCTAGAAATTAATTTAAATATAGACTGTGCGGAAAGTCCAAAATAGTTAGCACAATTAACAACATAAATTACTCAATTTAGCCAATTGTTTGAATATACTGTTAGTCAACTTTTTTGATACTAATGATTTGATAAAGTAATTCTGTCAATTTCCGTAGCTCCAAACCAGAGTTTTAAAATAGATTTGCATTTTAAAATAAATAAATCAAACTATATAGTAAATTGTATATGTAAATTCATTATTTAACTATAAATTATTTTACTACAAAAAATATCGGTTACTTATATTTCACTCTTAGCTAAACTACAAGTAAATTTACAATTAAAATAAATTCCATTCAAGTTTCTGATTGCTTCCACTTTTTCATAAATTTCAAATTCAAATCGAATCAAATACACTACAATACCACATAATATACTGTTCCTTGACGAGCTCAAACATAGCGTCGTCTTTTAAATCTATGTAATTTCTTACTTTGGCACTCAGCCAATGGTCGCTTACTTTCTAAGATTATTCTTTTGTTGATTTGAAATCACAATCAATAGCTTATCGATCACTTTGCTCGCCTGTTGCTGTTGCGTAATCAACGCCTGCTTTAGCTCCTGAATTTCCTGTGTAAGAAATTCGATACGCTCCGCATTGTCGTCGATCTTGCTCGTTAGCGTATTAAAATGTGCCGTTTCCAAATCGTCTGTCGCATAGCTTTGTGTCTGATTGTCATTGTATTTGTTCTTGTATTGCAAATAGGTCGCCGCAGTACCCTTCGCCGATATGGTATGACCAAAATGTTTGCGCATCTTGCCCACTTCGTAGGCCTTCATGAGTATTTCGCGTGGCAAACGCTTTTCGCTCGGATTCAGCGGCTTTACACACAATACAACTCGATATGCCTGTGGCGAGACGAGTGCAGTGTAGTGTAGCAAATTGCGCAGCCAAGGTGGTAGATAACCGTTGAAGAGCGCCGACTCTATGTAGGATATAAGTTTGGTTTGACGCACCAGTTTCGATAGGCCGGCGGTCTTCTTCAAACCCTGAATATCGTGTACAGCTATGCCGACTAGCAAGTTCATCAGTATGATTGTGACGAAGAGTAGGAAGAGCACAAATGTGATTTGCGCGCTCACCTCCAGCAAGAAGGGTGGATCTTTGCCGTCCGGATCGTTGATCAGCAGCGAGAGATCTTGTTCGCCGATCATCATCACCAGCACAGTGATGAAACCCATGAAGGGGTTAGCGAAGGACGACGAGGAGGGGAATATCACACAGAAGCTTATTGTGAAGCCAATTAGCATGCACGAGTAGGCCATGAAGAGTTTTGCGAATTCACCCTGCACCCGCGTATACATTGCCACATACACGTCGAAGACGGGCAGTTGGCCGATCATCAACATTAAATTTGTCCAACCCAGCAGCACCGCAAAGGCGCCTATGTGGTTCTGAAATGTGTATGTCTGCTTCGTATAGATGTACGAAATGACGAAGACACTCGTGATCACGAACCATTCCATAATATTCTCCACCTGCGTCACGTAGTGCTTGAATGTTGAATAGCCGGTTATGCCGTAGAGTTTCCGAAATATCTCGACAATCGTGATGGCGACCAGCACCCACCACTGCATCTCCATGACAAAGGGATTGTTGCGCAGCATGTCGCCGAGTATGGACTGCTTTTGGCACAGCTCCTGCGCCTGTATGGTCGTATTGTCGTCCTTGCTGCCGTTGTAGCAATTGTGCGCGAGTGCCGTCAGCACGTAGAGTGTCAGAAAGAGCACGAAGGTGAAGCAAAAGATCAACCGTCCTATATAGTATTTGCGTATCTTTCCCCACTTGATGTAGAGAAAGGAGGAGCACAATGGATGCTCGAGTATTTCCTTTTGCCCCTCGTCTACGAACGTATTCAGATAGCTGATCTCGCGCGGATGACAGTGTTGCAGCAGCTGACGAAAGTCCAGCTCCAATTCCACTTCACGATTGACTGGATCTTGTGAGTGGTGCAGTGTAATGGCCGCGTCCAGTTTTTGTCTGATCATCGCCACCGAAGCAGGCGTCTTGCGCGTGATCACATTCAATGCTGAGGTGCCCTTCTTCGATTTCGTAGTCACATCGGCGCCATGGAAGATCAGCATTTCAACGCATTGCGCCAGCCCATCGAGCGCGGCCAAATGCAACGCTGTGAAGCCGTAAATGTCCTTGTGATTGACATTTGCGCCCCACTGTATCAGCGTTTCGAGTATATCAAAGGCATTCTCCGACTTGCCGATGGCCGCATGCAGCGGCGTGCGATGATCAAAGTCCTCTGCGTTGGGATCGGCATTGCCGTTACGCAGCAGCGACTCTACACACTCCAGACTGGAGGTGCGCGCCGCCAAATGCAACGCGGTGAAGCCGCGATGATTTTTCAACTTGGCATCGGCGCCTTTGGCTAGCAGCAGATCGACGCACTCGACATTGCCCTCATCGGCGGCCAAATGCAGCGCTGTCGACTCCTTTTCGCGTATACAAATGCGCACATTGGGATCAGCGCCGGGCGCATTCAGCAGCGCCTCCAGGCACTGTGCATTGCCCAAATCGGCCGCCAGGTGTATCGCATTAGTGCCATTCGGTTTCAGCGAATTCACGTCGGCACCCTCCACAATGAACAGCTGCACGCATTCGAGCGCATTAGCGCGCACGGCACAGTGCAGTAGACTCTCCTCGCAGTTGGGTTTGTTGGTGTCGATGGTGATGAGTGCGCCGTTGTTGATTAGAAATTTCGCTGCCTCGGCTGAATTACCGAACGCAGCGCAATGCAATGGCGTATAACATTTCGGCTGCAAGTTCACATTCACGTCTTTGCCGACGAGAAAACTCAACGTCGATAGGCAACCACTAAAGGCGCCCAAATGCAATGCCGAAATGCCATTCTGATCACAGAAGTTCAATTCGGCGCCAATGTCTAGAAAACTCTGCAGCAAGTCCCAGCGTTTCAAGAAGGCCGCCCACAAATAACTGAGATTCTTTTCAATTTTCGATGCTGATTCGAAGTGTGTCTTCGTATTCTCCACAATCACATTGCCCTGTTCGATGTCCTCCAGGAAGCGCACACGCCCGGCGGCGCTCTTCATCTGATCGATCAGACTGATGCGCAAGGTGTCGTTGCATATTTGTACGCTCAGCTCGCTTGTGGGCTCCTCGAAGCTGTCATACATGCTGGGTGCACTCTCAGCGGGCGGCGAGGGTCCGCATTCCATGTACTCGAATTCACCGGGTGTCGGATATTGTGCCTCAATCATGGCGTCAGCATTGTTGTTGCGCCATCGTACCATTAAATTTGGCGGTATCGATTTAAATCTGTGCGGGGGAAGAGTAGACCAAAAAAAAAGGACGTTAGAAATTTAATGGGAAGAACTCAAGCTGAATCTTTAGGAAATAAAAAAGCAAAAAATTAAAAAAAATAATCAGGAATGATGTGATGTTTATTTAGTGGAAGAAGATAAATGATTTCTTTGGTCCTCTGCAATAATGACATAAACCAAAACAAAAACCTGTTCTACTGTACAGTGGCGAATATCTCTAATCCTTGTCTAATCCATTTCTAATCCTAGCTAAATTTTTCTTTAAAGCAGTCATAAAGATGCGGTAAGGATTAAAAAAGAATTATAAATATTCGCTAAATGAGCGGATTACACGAAAGCTGAATCGATAGCAGTCAGACAAGCAGCAAAGGAAAATGTTCTAAATTTTTTTAATTTATGAACTTGGGTTCAGTTCGACTACGGCCTCAGCGGATTTCATTTTTATAAACAACTAGCGAATTCCCGGCGTGCTTCACTGCGTCTTAAACGTATTTTTGTGTTGTTTGATGCCCATATTGTAATATTTAATTTTTTTTATTAATTTAATTAAATACAAATTTTCAAACAGATGGCAACCCTCCTTAAAAATATTTTCGGAAGTAAACTTTTCTAAAACTCTTCAGTTTGTTGCCCATACTGCAATATTTCGTTGATCTTATCAATTACATTAAATTAAAACTTTCAAACATGTGGCAACCTCCTCGAAAATATTTTGGATGTAAGCCTTCTTTTAAGCTCCTTTCTTTTGACAGCCATATTGCAATATTTACTTTATCTTATCAATTTAATTAAACTGCAATTTTCAAACAAGTGGCAACTCTGTAAATTTTTCTCTCTATATTTTAAGTTGGACCTCTAGCAATACTGGCAGACAGACAGACAAAAATTCTTAAAATTGTCTATTTGGCTTCTATTGCTCTAATAAAGACCCGAGCCTCCAAGCGGCGATAAAGGGCGTCTAACACCCTGCAGAAGGGATCACTATTCTGGACAGAATCGGCCCGAGTACCGAAAACGCCAATGCCTGTTCACGGAAATTGACTTTGACCGCATTTTTAAAATCCACTCTCCCGAAAGAAGTGATTAGAAACTTAATATTGTTCTAAGCAGATGAGATTGCTAAAAAAATGGAAAAATATTTAATGTGTTCCTTTAGAAATTGCCTTTTAGGGAAGCCTAGGCATGATCAATCTATGTAGCTCAACCAAAACTCGCTTGAGCTGTTATCAAGGGCTTTGGGCTGGTAACAACCAACCTGACATGCGTTCAAGAATGCAGAAGATGCTCGCAATCGCTTGGTCATCATATAATCAATCTGTACTAAATATACATGTCCCGGGACACACTGGTATTTATGGAAATTAGGAAGTTGACGAGTGGCGAGGGGGCGGGAAAGGAATCTGCGATAGGATTAAGGGAAGTGAGTCCCTTACATTTAATAATCTTACAAGTTTGAGGTATCACCATTCCGATAAAAAAAAAGAAATATCGAGAATGGTTCTCGTGATCCAAAGTTAGCCGGTAACACATACAAAAAAAAAATATTCCGATCAATTGATATCTTCCTCCTTTTTGAAGTCGGTTAAAAAAAGATATCAAAACATCAGCGTAATTAATTAAAAACCAAGCATATCCACCTTGCATTAAATAATTCATTGTAATTAGGAAATACCAATATTTTTTGCTTACTTTATGAACAAATTTCGATTATTGGTCGCATTTTTGGGCCATTTAGCCACACATTCGAATTTTCTTCGTAAAATACAAAAAAAAAAACACACAACTTTCGAAGGTTAAATTACCGCTCAAAGGACACATGGTTATACTAGCGTTGTCCAAAAAGGGCTGCCGGGAGCCAATTGGAGCCTTTGGCTGCTATATAGTTTTATGTAACAAATGCGTCTTGAATTCTATTGGTATTTTGCTCACAGGTCATTGCACCATCAGAAAATAAATTTGGCTGGGAGCTTAAATTCTGCTAAAAATTATAGCACACCGAGAAAAGAGCTCGGCTATTTGGTTATTGCCACCTAATCAAGCTGACTTCTTTTTGAGTGCAACTGCAGGGTTTTAGGTACAAAATAAGCTGGTTCTGACCTTTCTTAAAGTCCCCATTTGTCACTGAAGATAATGTTTGTTAATTTAAAATAGTTTTATTCTGCATGATTTTCTGACAAAAAAAAAAAAACAAAAACAACCGAAAGCACTATTCGCAGTAAAAAAATGCGATTTGGCTCTCGCAATTAAAAACTTTTTAAAACGGTAAAACTATGAGGGAATAACAGATAAATCGTGTTTCCTGTATTTTTAAGTTCCTGAATTAGGGCAGCGCTCTTCCAGCGAACTAAAAAAAAAAAAACATTTTCAAATTAAAACATTGCAAAAATAAGCCAACTCTTCTTAATTAACTCTGTTATTATTTGATCAACTAATAATAAAGTATTCTTCATTTAATAAAAATTTATTTAGGTCGCTGTGTTCTGAGTTAGAATACATAAATTAAAATACATAACTTTTTAAATTAAAAAACATATATGCACCCCAATTTTAATTATTAATAATCCACCCATGCTAGTCCCTGTAATTCAATATGCCCATTTCAGAGGTCAAAGCTCAACTCAAAAATGTTCTCTTCTATGCACTAATATGATTAGGCGATTCCATTCAACTTTTGAAGCTGAAAAACTGGAATACAGAAATTATTTTTTATACACATTTTGACAGTTCGGCAATAGTTTTGAGATTTTCGAGTCATTCGCGACTTTCCAGTTTCCAATTTCAAGAGAATTAAATGCTTTTTTTTATTAATTTATTAAGAAAGTATTTTATAAATTCAAATAATTTTGCAAATTTATTAGTTTGTAATTTATATTTCTAAATATATTGGCTTTACAAATTGAATGTCCAATGGCGCTCTTAAAACATCAGTAATCACAAATAAAACTTAACTGACGGCTTCACCAGCAATTTAAGTGCAATAAAATAAAATAAACTACATTTTTTACTTAAAATTGCTTTTGTGAAATGGGCATATTCATAGTCGAAATAAAGTAAAATCTAGAGTTAGATTTAGATTTCTTGGCAGATATTAATTGGCTCTTACAGCCAATTCCACGAAAGCAGTTTAAGTAAAAAATGATTTTAATTTTTTTGAATTTCATATGGAAATTGACAGAAAATAAGAAATCATTTTCCACTTAAATTGCTGGTGGAACCGGCGGTTAGAGTCGACTTTATTTGGACTATGAATCTACCAATATGCCCCATTGCCCATTTCTTTAGAATTAAAGAAAATTAGTTTTTCGTTTAAATTTGCTTCAATTTAATGTTTTTTTTTTTTTTGATTGATTGTTGACTGGAACTCTAGTTGACGTTTGTCTTATGTTTTTTTTTTGTTTTTTTATTAATTTATTATTATTATTTCTCTAACAATATATTTGCACTTGAATACACAAATACATACATATGTATGAATGTACAAACACTTGTAATTTCCAGCTGCACTCAACCAAAAATATTTTTTTTGCTTCATTAATTTTTTAGCCGTTTCATCAGCACTTTTAATAATTTATTATTGTTAATAATATGTTTCCTACATATCGCACACAATCTTCAAAAGTGACACAACTCAAAATTACACGTTCGCCAGAAAATTCGAAAAACAATTTCTTAGCACATGCTCATCATATACATAGGCAAGGGGGTATTTACGTTAGGTTTTTTTTCAGCAAATTATAGTAAGAATTTACTCCAGCTTTTGCTGAAAGGTAAATAAAGGCTCTGTGTACATATTTAGTGCATAATTTCAAAAAATGCCAAATTTTGAGTTGTGTCACTTTTGAAGATCGTGTGCGATATGTAGTTATCCAATTAGTTAAGGCATTTTTCACATTTTTTTCCATTTTTTTTGCCACTTTGTTTCCATTACCATTTTTTTAAGCAGCAGACGTACAATAATATTTATTTTTTCTGTTAAATACATTTAATCTTTTTTTTTTTAATACATAGTATCGATATTTCGATTCACTAGCTTAGAGCGAGGTGCTTGTTGTCAAGTTTACTTGTTATGAAAAGTTGAATTTTGATATAGAATGTAGAAAAATTAAAAAAATGCTGATTTTAAAGAAATCACAACGAATTCGAGAAGTCCAAAAATAATGCAAACGCTTTTTATTAAGGACGAATTTTATCGACTAGATTTTGCATTGAAAGTTTTCGGATTTTTTACACTGTAAAATTTGAAAAACTTGACTTATTTAAATTAATTTTAAACCGATTTTAGAAAAAAGGAGGAGGTTATGATTTCATTCGAATATTTTTAAGTCTGCTACCAGATAACTTTGGACTACGTGAATAGTTTTCGATAATTTTTTTTTTTTTTTTTTTATCGGTAAGGTGGTACCTAAGCGTAGTCCCATACTAATTTATTTATTTATTTATTTAGTTCCGACCATTGTATCATGAAGGAATGAACAGAACTCCAAAATTTTTATATGAGCATTGAAGCCGGTTGTGTGTTTTGCGTAAACATTACTTGTTATTTTTTGTTTTTTTTTTAATTTTATTTTTTAATTTTTAAATTGTATTATTTTTTTTGCAAATATGAGTTCTAGTATCTTTGTTAAAATTTTTTGATTCTTTATTTTTAATCTTTTTTATATTTTAAAAAATTTAATTTTTTTTGCATACTTTTACTTTTCTTGCAAATATGAGTTCTAGTATTTTTATTTAAATTTTTTGATTTTTTGTTTTTGTAATTTTTTTTGTTTTAATTTTTTTTTTGATTTTTTTTTGTATTTATTATTATTTTTTATATATTATTTTCTTAAATATGCTTTAACTTTTCTTGCAAATATGTATGTCTAGTATGTTTGCTTGCAAAAACTAAATTAGCAAATATCTTCAAATTGCACTTACAAATATGTATATTAATTTAATTTAATACACGCACGCACACACAAATACATTAAGTGAGTTTAAACTTAACCTCCAACACCACAACACTAAAGCAGAAAAAACATAAAGAAGAAAAATTTCCAACGCGTACATGTTAATCAATCACTACTTTTTGTCCATTTCTCGTTTTCTGCTATTTTAATGCAAATTTCTTTGCCACTTTACTGCTGCTGCCGGCCGACGCTACGCTAAGCCCAAATTAAATTCAAAGCCTTGAAATTCTCGCTATTTTGATTTATTAGCGACGAAATAGTATAAAGAGTACTCTTTTATTAGCGCGTTAACTATATACTACTTAATTGAGTTGAAGCGTTTGCTTTTGATGTGAATTTAGTATGTAGATACATATATGTATATGTAGCTAACTACAAATGAATTTGCATGAAATGAGCAACTAAAAAATATATGATTTTTAAAGAAAACTCTACACTTTACGTAGCCAGATCCACGCAGGCCCCCAGTTTGTTGTGTGTAAATTTTCAAATCGCATTGCAAATTCAACGAGAAATTTTTCCACGCCAAGGGCTTTACATTGATGCGAGTATGTATTCGTACAGCATTTACTTATGTATGTATGTATTGGTAAGCCTGCAACTGTGTGCGTGGGTGGGAGTGTGGTGTGGGGGTGTATGGCGCGCACACACTTCCTTTCAAGCGCGCGCTCGCTCGAAAACACGGCGAACGCGTCGAGAGCCGAATGCGGTTTATGCCTCAAAGCGTGGAATTTACGCGAAGCTACACAAATTGCTATGAATAGACGAATTCCAGCTGGACACGAATGCGCGCGCCCTCTACCGAGCGGCCAATAAAGCAATTACGACAATGATACGAGCAGAGACGAGTAACTGACCGAACGTATTTCGTGTGATTACAGTTGTAGTACGAGTATAACGCAACTGTCTCGGGCGCGCATTCGTTTATGTTGGTGATTTTTATTTTTTAAGGCTTTTCTTTTGCAAAATTTATTTTTTGGACTTTGCCGAAACCGAACTTGCAAGTAATGCGCGCTACCGGCTTGAATGCCACTCGCTCAACGACTAACTGTGGCTGTTACAGCTGCTGTGTCCAGCTTGTACAAACAAACTGAAAACGATCGACGCCACATCAATGTTATTATAGTGTGCACAAGTGTAGTCGTCCACGGTGTGAATATATATATATATTTAGCTATTTCAAGTAGCGTGCGAAATCACGGTTGACTAGCTGCCTGGCTGGCACAGGTATGCGAGCTGCGAGCCGTCAAGCGGGTGGTCAGTTAATCGAAAAGTCTACTAGCTGCGCGCGGAGTCTGCGGAAGAGTAACTTCGCGCTTTGGCGCTTGACGTAGCTTAAAACTGTGATGACGTTTCATTTTAATGCTGACTTTATGATGGTAACACCCGCCTAGCCGGTGTGGTGGGTGCGTACATAATTATTGGTTTGGCGCTGGTTTACTTTTATCGCCGGGGAATTTCTAGCGTCGCAGCCAGTTTCATTTCTTTGGTTCCTGATTAATAGCATTGGCCTGATTTTTTTT